GGATTTATTAACATAAAAAAACCTTTGTTTTCGTATTCGATCCTTTGTAATCAATTGATGAAACGCTTTAAGATTAATGTCTCTGCTACACAAAGAACTCGGAATACAATATACCAAAGAAACAGAAAATAAACTTTCGCCTACGATATATTTATATCGACCTTCAAGAACATTATTAATTCATACATGCCGATGTGTCATTTTTCTTGAAACTTTTCCGAGAAAAAAAAGTCTAATGAAATTTTGTGCCTTTTTTTCTGTGATATAAAATGTGGAATTAAATTTAGCTACTTGTAACATTGTTTAAATATACAATTACACGTCGGGTTAGTATCAAATTTAAATAAATTTAAAGGCAGGATCGAGTCGACCTTTTGCTTGGCAGAGTCTTTGTGCAACTGGGCTTTTAACAACTGCATAAACGAGCAATCCATGTACTAACAATCCGAATCGCAAAACGATATATCAAAAATAACATATTGTCCAAACATTTGTTCATATGAGGAAGTATATCAATCATAAATGAGTTAGTATTTCATAATAAAAATTGGTATCAGGTGTCAATTTAATCAGATGACTAGAAACAGAAACAGGCTCAGTAATATATAAATAAATCGCAGTTTGATTGATGAATTTTTTTATTACTGAATGAATAAACGGTTCTTCTCTAAGTGTTCCACCATAAACACCGATACTATCAGACTATCGCGGAAGGATTTTAGATCTCGAACTACCAAGAGGCGTCAAGTAGCGCGGAAATTGATTTACATCCTTAATGACCTCTCGAGAATTTTAACCGTTTATCTTTATAGGCTATTTCGTAGCCATCCAGGACAGCAGTTTGTCTCAAATCACTTCCGTGTTTAGGGAGATTGATCCTCCTATAAGGAATAAACCAAGTATTAACAATCCGAATCGCAAATCGAAAGTCAAAATCCAAACAAAACAATGGAAGCAGCTTTTGAACTTTTCATATTTAGAAGTATATCAATTATAAGTAAGTATTTCATAATGAAGTGGTATCAGGTGTCCAGAAGAGTAAACATACCCTGCCTGGCGCCACACCCACCAAAGCTGCTCAACATATACAACAAATATAGTCTCACAGATGAAATGGCATGAGCCTTGTCTGTTCCAATTGTCAAGTGTAATGTGAATCTGCTTAATTGAATCAACCCTATTCAGAATCATTTTTCAATCTTCCTTCTCCTATTCTGCTTCAGATTGGGCAATACCATACCTTGCAATCCAACAACTGTGGGTGTTTAGTTCCTTCACAATTTGATTATTGCAAGATAGCACAGTTTTGGCAACAAATAATGATATCAATCCTTCGGATTTTTCAATCTGGATTTCCCTGTGAGTGATGCATGTCGAAAGAGATGACATGGAAAAAGCGTGTAGTTGTTCGGACGGCACAATATACCGAGGCTGTACATGTTCAATATCCCTCGACAGTTGGAAATCGGAAGAGAGTAGGCTAATGCCATTGTCCTGGCAAAATGTCTCTCATTGAACCCTGCATGTCGTTGTTCGTCTTCATTAGCCCACATGTTTCTATATTATATACAGTTGTCAGCAATATAAACTATATTTGTAATCTTGAAAATTACATTGCACCTAGAGTATGCATTATAACAATACATCTTTTGCACACTTGCTGTATTTAGCGGCAATTCACTAAAGGATATTATCATATTGTATAATTAGTTCACAGTATCGTACATTCAACTCACAAATACCAGGCCATCAATCAAGCTTTTTATAATGAGTATTTGTAGGACTAAATGATTGAAGGGAATATAATAATACAATAATATTTACACGTCTTCACAATTAGACGAGATCCAGATAGTCTAGACTGGAAAGACGAGAATTAACGGATCAAAGATGGCGAAATTGTGATTTGTTGGTTGCTGTGACAACTTGACCCAGACAGCTTCCGATATACCTTCTCTTCCAACACTTCTAATTAGTTACAATTGATAGAACCTTGACGGTTGTCAGTCTAAGGTGCTGTTCACACCAGTAACTCAACTACAGGGACTGGTTGAACCAAGTCCATGGACCCCCTACCCTAACAAAATGCAGAAGGGCATATTTAAAAAAATGGATTCTGCAGTAGGGGTTAACTTATTTTATTCAGGGGCTCCTTCTTATCACAGAACTTAAATGTACTCTTACCATAATGATTACCAGTTGTATATTGTTGCGAATAATGAAAGTGGTCATCATTTCTTAACACAACTCACAACTCAGTTACTTGAGAGTTTTGTTCAAACTTATCACCGCTTTTCTTATTGACAACTATATACAACTAGTGATCATTATGGTGTAAGGTCATTTTTAGGGGTTGTTTAGAGCGGGTTAACGAAACCTCGTCCCATGTCTTGTCACCTCGACATCCAAAAACTAACATTTCCATGGCGGTCGGGATTATCTGAAACTAGCTTAAGTTTAAAACTCTTTGAGTTTCCAGATCTGAATATTGCTCAGTCAGACACGAGAAGGTAGCATCAGATATGAGTAAACATACCTCACAAGCCACTGTATATTTTTATATTCCATATGACAGGATTTAGTCTTCAAATGATGAACGATAACTTCTAGGATATTTTCTAATTCATAAACTACACACTTAACAAACGGTTGTTCTTTTCATCATTTGTGTGTACCAGATCTCTGGTGAAGTGTGAAGGGTAATTAGTACCTAAAAGTAAATGCTGATTAAATTTAATGGAACGAAACAAAGTTACTCCGACTTCTCACTTTATATTGATCGATTTTCTTAAATAACTTGATGCAATGAGATAAAAATTGTATTGACGGTATTTCAATGGCAGAACACAATCAAAGCAAATATTGTGTTGTATACTGAGCTAGGGTCGACCTATATTTTACTGAATTGAATACTTCAAACGTCAAGTTATCAATTAATTCCATTCCAATTAATGAACATAGTGTTTCCAGTTCTTATCATAAACTGGAAAAATCTACACGGCATGTCAGTTATTGTCATCATGACAAAACAGGTCAAATTGTTCTTCTTCTTAAAAAGGAAATGAATGGAGTATTACGTCCTACATTCCTGCACCTTATGATTTGATGAAGATGGGCAACGTCATTCAGGGTTTAATGAGGGAAATTAGCCTGCTCTTTTTCTATTTCCAACTGTATCTAGTGCGAATGTAAAAGGCGCTATTACAGAAGGGCATTATTTGCTCTAGTGGGGTACTGGTTGCAAAAAAATTTCCCTCGTTGCATACTACAAGGTGTTGTCCGTTCTCATTAACCAAAAAGTAAAAAGTTAGAACATAAAAGAAGAATCACAGACTGCAGATACCGATGTCTACAGTGACTGTAGTGTTTATATGAATCGTTAGTTTACAGAGGCGAATTGTATCTTTCCCTATGATGAGAACTTTCAGAAAGGGGTTGGAGAATTGGCAAAACCTGATCGGCTCCAGTTCTGCAGAAACACCACTTTCCAAGGACAGATAATCTCATAAGAATATTGCCTTTTTTGGACTAGAAGTCTGTTTGTCGAGTCTAGTCATAATAAGGTTATATATAGAAAGTTATTATCGTGTAATAGCCTTGATACACGTATAATTTAATTATTGATATGACTCTGAAGGCCGAGGGGAGTGGTCTTTTACTCAATAGGATTAGTATAGAATTTACACGCTTCGTTCATTACATTACATTAAGGTGCATCAAATGGTATTAACTGTCGCAGTTAATGGGCGTACCTTTCTGGTTTTCATTAGTGCAGCTGGAAAGTTATAAAACAAATTACTGAATGCAACTTTAGGGCCTTTCTGTTTTTTCACTATCTCTGACGTCATGTTAGTTGAGTGCGGAGATAGTTTTCAAACTGGCCGCCAAAATAAGGGCAAAAATGCATATTTTGCACATTGGTGTCAGTTTATGATCTTATATGGCTCTGTAATATGTCCAATTATGGTTTTCGTGGTCACTGAAGTCGTACTGTTGCTGGTTAATGGAATTTTATAGACCATACTTGCATGGATTGAAATACTCATTAAGAGTACTGACAACCTTAGAATGACTTTACATCAACAACATCTAAAGTATACCTTAAATATTTCATATTATCAAAGTGCATTTTAAAAAAAAGGCTTCATTGCTTCAACGCTTCAAAAAAATAAAAACAGTATTCGCTTTTATACTTATTCAACTCTTTATGTCATATCTTTTGATACGACTTAATAATGCATATATATTTTTAAGTAGGATGTAACACGACCTGTTTCCCGTGGTTGGGGTAAAATCAATGTCAAGCTGTAAGAAACTGCGTCTTATAACTTGACTGCAATAGCCACTATCCTTGTATCATGGAAGTTAGTAAATGCAGGGATTTGATTGGATTGTACGCCAGCGAATACAGCTATTAAGAGTCCTTGACAGATAATTTGTAAACATTAAGCCACATTGTTTACACCCTTTCTGTCGAGGCTTATGATTGGCTGTATTCTTTTACGTACAATCCAGTCACGCCACATTCTGTGTTACAAGAATTGTAGCTATTGCAGTCAAGTTATAGACAAAGTGCGTAATAGCTTGACATTGTAAAGAGGATGACTTTAATAATGCATGTATTTTGTAAGTAGATAGCAGAACGAACTGTTTCACTTGGTTCGAGATAAAAGTACACTAGGGTCAATTGCTGGCGTGTTTTTTTCCTCATTTCCTCTCAACAAATTGAACGTGTGTTCGCATATTGTTATTCTTCTGATAATATTTGCTACAAAAGTAAACAATAATATATTCTATGATCGAGGTGATGATGGACTTTGATGTTTATAAGGTTTTATATCAATATATATTTATATTCTATCTTCTCGTCATCAACTAGGCATGTGACTGATGTCCCACATCACTAAGGTTAGTATTACACGATTGTCATTAGGTTAACTTCATACACAGTGCACTCTACTACATTCTTTAGCTTATAGTGACACCAGGTAGGGAGTCAATCAGTAGAGTATTCAGGGAGAGCATCAGTAGAGTATTCAGGGAGAGCATCAGTAGAGTATTTAGGGAGAGCATCAGTAGAGTATTCAGGGAGAGAATCAGTAGAGTATTTAGGGAGAGCATCGGTAGAGTATTTAGGGAGAGCATCGGTAGAGTATTTAGGGAGAGCATCAGTAGAGTATTCAGGGAGAGCATCAGTAGAGTATTTAGGGAGAGCATCGGTAGACTATTCAGGGAAAGCATCGGTAGAGTATTTAGGGAGAGCATCGGTAGAGTATTTAGGGAGAGAATCAGTAGACTATTCAGGGAGAGCATCGGTAGAGTATTTAGGGAGAGCATCAGTAGACTATTCAGGGAGAGCATCAGTAGAGTATTTAGGGAGAGCATCAGTAGAGTATTTAGGGAGAGGGCCATTGGGTCATACCCTCTCCCTTGGGTCTGTGATAATTTAGCCTTCAAAAGTCATCTCAAGCCTTCTGAAATCAGTTGGCAGACCCCCAGCGTCAAGGGGCATCGCCTTGTAACACGAGGGGCATTCTTTGTTAGTACAGTGACATTGCCCTACTTTGCAGATTTTTAAATCTGCACAGCTGAAGCAAACTGGGCAACGTAATCACCTGTACAATACAACAGAACTTCGTAATGCTTAGCTTACTCAAAACAATAGCGCATATAAAAACATACATAGTCATCTCACTAAATCAGGTAAACAAAAACAATAGCAGGGAGTGCTAGTTGATAAGATAATTACTGAAATATCACAAATCAGGATCAAAAAGCGATAAAGAAGATCAATCCCTTTGAATAAGATAACTAAACTGATATTATGTTTAAAGATACTATGATTCACCTTCTCCCGTGATTATCATTCATTGATAAACCAATCAGTTTGTGGCGGTTTGTTTATATTTGTATTACTCAAGGTTCATGTCACACATCCTTTGGATGGTTTACATACACACTGATCAAGTCCGAAGCCCCCTAAAATTTGTTATACGACCTAATTCCTCAAGATGGGTTACAGAGATCGGGGTTCCTCTGTACATCACAAAAACGAATATTTCAGATAGTCTTTGGAGCTCGTTGGGTTCAAAAGGGCCTGAAGGTACAGGGTTCTATCTATTGCCGTCGTTCTGACGTTTGATGTCATTGTACATTTCAATGCGTTGCCAGTCTTCATCCGCCAAGTTCACTTCATTTGCATGTATTTGTATTTGTATGACTGTCTTTGTATATATATATGTTTGTGTTTGTTTCTGATGGGTAGAAATGCTCTAGGAAATAAAGAACTGTGATCTATTTATGGAGCTTGTTGTCTTGAGTGGTGATTTATCTGAAAGGGAAGTAATTGTTGATAATTAGTAGACCTGGATTACTATAATTAGAAAGCCATTGTGATTAATTATGTATACTAATTAATTCCAAACCAAGTACTAATTGTTAAGCATAACGAAACACCAAGTTTAAATGAAAATAACTACACTTGACACCAAAATTTTCATTTTATTATCGACATTTTCTCCACAGTGGCATTCAATTGTACTGGAACTGTATTAGGGTCACACCAATGATTCCAAGGGTTCATTTCACTGAACCTTATCAATATTCGTCAAAGAGAAACCATCATGAATAGATCTGGAGTTAATCACTTTTCCTTTGATTGAAGAATATTCTAGTGTTTTACGGCCAGAGGTCGACTCATCAATAATGAATTATCGAGCCATTGGCCTATTTTCTAGTAACCTGTATTCTCAAGTTCTGGTTTATAGTTCTTTCTCATTATTATGCAGGTGATTTTTCAGGTCTTTTTAGAAAGAAACAACTATATTTTACAAGGATAACAACTTAGATTCACAATAAACGTTCATTTGTACCAGCTGGTCCTTGGTCAAACCTCTTAGCATTGATCTTTACCATATTATTGTATTTCGAAATTTTGTGAAGTTTTCTGCCTACGTTTCTGTTTTATTTTGGACTTTTGGAAGATTGACATTGTATCATTTTGTCGATGGAATTTAATAACTGACGAGAGGTTGTATATCGCGAACTGTAGTGGACCCGTTGGTAGTCAATGATTTACTTGTCTTTTGTTTTGTGCAGGTGACATTCCTAAATCATGAATGAACTAATCAACTGTAGTGAATTACATGTAATGCTTCTTATTTCTTGGAAACTTAACCAACCATGTTGTATCGGTTTATATTGTCTCAAATATTGAGACACACCCAAGTTTGTCAAATACATGTACTATTAAATGCTGAAAATATTAGAAGATGCTTGGTTCATCAAGGTTCCGAAGAGGCCTTCACACCATAGCGATCTCTCTGGTTACGTAAGTTAAGGAAGCAATTCTTATGCACCTGAGTTTGAGTTGGGTTCAGAACTCTTGACCACTTTCATTACTCACAACCATATACAACTTGTATATTACTATGGTGTGAGAGCACTTTGATAACCAGATGACTGCAGAATTAATAATGCATGGAGGTCGTATTGGTTGTCTTCCCACAATATATTTTCCGCTTTGAGAAGTGAACGCTAGTTCTGCCTAGATGTATTTTTGTTAATCTTGAGTCGAGAAACTTATGATCTTGATAAACGGAATTGTCTAGCCTGTACGATCATGATCTAAGAAAGCATCTTGTGAAGACATTGTTTAAGAGATTTATCCTTTTTTAATAATCTGTAGGCAGTCCGAATTTCGTAATGATTTTGAATGCAAAGATTTATAGGTAGCCCTTTGCTTTTCTACCAGCAAGACAAGGAAAATTGGATTTAACTTAGAAATTTAACTTCTAAATTAAAGCGGTCTATTTGGTTAGTGGGATATAATTTAATGACACCATTCTCAATAACTCTCAAGGACTGTAACATCACTGAATGGAAAAGCTGGAGGGCTTGTAAGTCTTTTTATAAAAAATCTCCGAGAAGTCGACGTCCTTTTGTTCGTATAATGGTTCTTCAATGAGTGAAACCGAAGTCAAAAGGTTTCTATTACCCTCGTTAGAAGAACTGTAAAGAGTAGTGAATGGCCTCCCTCGGCTAAAAAAACATGTTATAAAGCTGATAGGGTAATTAGCCCGGCATTGATAAGACTTCTTCAATCGTTGACCAAGTAACTTAGAAGTTTGTTTTGTAGGGGCGGATATCTTGTTAATCCGGTGTTTAAGAGTTGACCATCGAAACCTCCTGATGATATCTAGTTGATATACGTTAAAAACGTTAACGCTTAAAGTAATCCCTAAACAGTTGGAAATCGAAAGAGAGTAGGTTAATGCCGTTTTTCTGGAAAAAATTTCCCATATCGACAACTTTAGCTTCTAAAGTTCAGTTCCTCCAACACGACGAAAGCGAGCTGGCAGAGATCCTCATTCATGGTCGTGGGGATCTTGGATTAATAAAAATATAGTCAATAGAAGAATTATGCCAAAGGGCAGTCTAATAAAATTATCCCGTCCAATGACCTGAACATTGTTGACTTTTAAACCTCTGTAACTGTTGTCGACTTTCATAATCTCTGTCATCACGTGTATCTGAAACAGGTGCTCGTCGTTACCTGTCCATAAACACTCACTCGTCGCTTCATTATCCTTTTATTTCACGTGACCAAGTGTCGAACGAATTAGTCATATGATGAATGGCCTGTGGTATTCCTACGCCGCGTCACGCTCACTTGCACATGGTTCATGTTTAGGCGCATACAACTTACTATTATAGTTGAAATAGTATGGTAGTCTTGATTATCAACACGTTACTATCGTAGATATAGTAGTATATAGTCGCGATTATCCTGCTTGAACTGGTTAGAGAAGAACAGGTACGCGTCGTCCTAACATCTTGTCTTAACAGGTTTACGGATTGTTTGTACACGTGGTCTCTCTAGCGTAGGAATACAGATGAATGAAAGTTCAAGTCACCCAAAAATCGTTACTATTTAAAAAGTTTGTTCACAATATTGTACATGTTTGAATTTTGAAAATTTGCCTTACTTTTCCGCTCGCTCGCTCATATCTAAATGATCTGAAAGTGAAAATATAATATAAGTCTTTCTGTTTCAAGCATGCTAATTTCTAGATGTCTTGACACAGTGATTATCAGTATGTACGTACCTAGTATATGAGTTAAGTGAGTTATGCCAGGGGAGTCTATGGATATTCTATATTCCAGTCGTGAGCTAACGAGTTGTCCTGGTAAAGGTTCTTTGGTGAATCAGACAGCAGCAGAAAGAAGAAACGTAAACTCTGTTTTATTGTATTAATTCTGGAGAGTATCAATATAACATTATTAGCTAAGAGGTCCGTCGTGATATCAACTTGCCCGGTATTAGGATGCCATCAGGTGTTCCAAGGTTGAGACTGGACTTCCTGGCCCACCAACCCCTTCTACAAACATTATTGTAGGGAGATTATGAAACGCATTCAAGTGCCTCAAACATGAGATTTACCTAACTACGTATTAAGATATAATGGTCGTTGTGTAATTCTTGTAATTTTCATGTTTAATGGTGCATGCTGGTTAAAAAGTTGAAAAACGCATTAACATTTTAAAATCTTATGCCTGAACGAATAAGACACACTTTTTATGACATAGGTGGAGAACATCTCAACAAAACATGTTGAAACCTAAAACTAAATAGTAAAATAGTAAATATTGAAAATAGACCGCAGTTCAAACCATCCTGACATAATGAGTCAATATTTGTCCGTGCATTGAAATATATCTGGGTATCGGTACACGATATTGTTTTTTTACTACGACAAGACCATTAGTTTCACGAAAACAGCAATGCAAAGGTAAATACTGTCTTTTCAAACACAGTTCTTCCAAATACACAGTCGGTGCGTTCGATTTATTCACTGAATGGTAAATACAATAAAAGTACATCCACTTTCTAAATTTAGATTTTCTTTAATAGAATGTCTATATTTACAAAAGATATTTGAAGAATTCGTCATTATTCTATTTGTATAGTGTATTCGCTTACCAATGTAGTGTTTGTATAAATGCATGTATATTTATGAGAAAATAATGAAGTAGGATTGTCTAATTGTTGACCGAGATTTTCTTCAATATCTATTGACAGGGTGCGCCTGAAAAATGCCTCAACAAACAAGCAATATCATCAGCGGAAATGAGACAATTTTGTCTCAGTTAAATTCTACCAAAGTAATACAAATAGGCCTACAAAGAAAGAAAAAAAGAACCATGTTTGTTACATGGATCAACCCTGTGGTTCTGAAACGACCAGCCTTCGGCAGCCCTTATGGTGCAGAAACATAGGACGTAAAACTCCGTTCATTTCATTTCATTATCTGAGGTTCAGCAGGTTTTTTGGCTAAACCTCTTGGATGTTGTGTTGGCAATATATTAGATTCAGGATGTCAGCAAACTAAAGACCACATACATATTCTATGTTTTTTCTTAGAACGAACGTGGTGAAAAAGAATAGCTG